AGGAGGAGGAGTAGTAGTAGTAGTAGTGGTAGCAGTAGCAGTAGTCACGGCGTTCACACGAAGTTAGGCCCTACATGGCGTTGTCAGAGCGCTCAGAGCAGAGAAGTGTTTGGAATGGGTGTAGCAGCATCGGAAGGTGCCTGGATGGGAATCGCCTCAGGAAAAAGATGTGGTGGACCAGTCTATTTCTAATGGGTGCATTGCGGTCGCAGAGGGTCTTTTTCACCAAGCTGGTGAACCATTTTTCGAGTAGGGCTACTCAATGACTGGACGGCTACCTTATCGTTGGGTACCTACTTTCTTCCCAGGGAGCTGCCTCTAGTAGAAAGCAATCAAGCCTCTATTTGCGCAAGCAGGGGACCAGGAGATCGACAGACGAGCGCCGTAGGAGAGCAAAAGACCAGCGGACCAGGAGACAGAAGGACTAGGATACCAGGGGACCAGCGGACCACAGGACCAGAGGACCAGGAGACCGGAGGACTAGGGGACCAGTGGACTAAAGGACCAAGGGACCAGGGGACCAAAGGACCAGTGGACCAGAGGACCAAGGGACCAAAGGACCAAGGGACCACATTACCAGAGGACCCGCAGACCAAAAGGCCAGGAGAGCAGCAGAAGAGGCCTATCAAGGAATATTTTTTTTTTGATTCGCTTTTTATTTTTTTTGTTGATCCTGTTTTTATTTTTTTTTGATGCTCTTTTTATTTTTATTTTTGATACCTATGCCCCACCTGAGAGTTTCAGTTTGACGGAAACAGAGTCATGAAGAAATTCTACAACACTGTGTGATCACCAAGCGGTTTCCGTGCCTGTTCTTCCCCCCACCGGTCAACCGACGCCACGCGACGCCCACTCACGACCTGTGACAGGTCGGCCGTGGAGGAGTCCCTTAAGGTGGCGAACATGGTGTCGGTGTCCTTGCGGGCGCCATGTGTACGAGTCCCGGTTCGAGTTGTCGGTTTTTGTTGGGGGGTGTGAACCAAGTGAGAACCATATGGTGGAGGTTTTTAACAATTTACAAAAAGCTCCAAATCCATGAACACCCGCGTGCGACTATATGGACCTTCATCTCTAGGGGTCGAACCAATCCGCTTTGGGACCAGTTGGGCGGTTTGGGACCCGAAAACTGAGCGGAGAAACGATATGAAACGATCGGGACATGGTTTCTTGCCCGAACCAACGCCACCGAAGAAACACGTTCTGCCGAGTCTGACCATGAAGAACTCGGCCCAGTCTGTTCAACACATCGGGCTCGGTCTCATGCCGGAAGAGCTCCGTCCGGTCAACACCATGGACCCGAGTGAAAATCCATACAATGTATGGAGCAAGCTCGTATGGATTTGGATGGAGCAACCATGTTTGGAGGTATCGATGTGTACTATACAAATGTAATTATGGAGGTTGCTCCATGTTTGGACCCGTATGTTAAGTGGAGCAACCTCCGCATATTTTCAGCTTGTGCAAGCTCTTTGCCTTGAGATTGTTTCTTGTCTATTCCATCCATGCCCGCCACCCCTTCCGCGCGATTTCTTGCGGATGTTGCTTCGGTGTTTCTCCTGCATGATGGCCCTGACCTCTTCACACTCATTGGCCAAATCTGTAAGGCTCAAACCGCTACAAGCCTCCAAAGAAGCGGCTGGTTGATGGACCATGGAAAAGGCATGTCATTGGGATCTGGTAGATCTGGTAGTAGAGGCTGAGAAGACACACTGTTTGCTTGTTTTTGTATAAAGGTGAACATGGGGTATATCCTAATCACTGTAGCAGTGGATGATGATGGTCTATCCCAAGGCCTTTCTCTGTATAGTGATCATTATTTACCGACCGTTACAGGTCATGGACCACCCGCAAGGTGAAAATACGGCTGGGCTCTGATCTGCCAAAAGAATCTGCCCAAACCAATACAATCAGAGTATCAACAACTCACCGATCGCCCGGCGAAGACGCACAGATCACCGGAGGGAATGGAACCATCATCTGCACCAGATTCATGTTCCAAACAAGCTTCCAAGCTTCCTGTCAAGAGCCGACATGACCCGACTGCGCTATTCACACATGAGTGAAGCTGATGGCTGAAAGATTCGAGTGACTCTAGTCATAAACAATCGATTGGACGCACCTTTGCTGTCCATCACCACGCCTTGCCAAGCAGGGCCAACACCGAGCCGGTGTGCCGGTGACAGGCCTGCGTTGACAACCACCAACCAATCTGCATAGACTAAAATGGCCCATGTCAGTCAGTTTATATATAGTACATTGTGGATATGTTCCATTACCAGTAACAGTCAATGATGATGGCCTATCCCAAGGCCTTTCTCAAAACTGTGATAATCTTTGACCGACTGGTCCTGGTAATGACGCACCAATATGTTTAAACAAATTACATTGTAGATATACTTGGACAGTGCTCTACCTGAAAATTCACAACGCCGTGCTTTTCCAGCACGCCTGCATGGTCACGATGAGCATGTTTTGGTTCGCGAGCATCTTCGCCGGACTTCTGCGAAACCCAGCCACCCTGGCGAGGCAAACAGCGAGGTCTCACATGTCGTTCCAAAATCGCTTTTAGGTTGGAGGCCATCGCGAGTAGATTAGAAACAAAGAAAAAGAAAAGGAAGAAAGGCGAGCCTACGAAGGCGAGTCATGTGCCTTAACAATGGAACATGCTATGTAAGAACATGTGGATTGAGATATCTAGCGATGTAGGCACGATAAGTTATATAGGAAGCTCCAAAAGCCATATTGTGAATGATCATATTGCTATTTATGTAGCTTTGTTAGAAAGGCACAGCCTTGACCAACGCACAACATGGGTTGTAATTTCATGTAATTTCAAGCTTTGCTCGGCGGAAAGCTGCATTTCCCCCCAGAAGGAAAGGAAAACAGTGCCAGTGCCGCATGCCTCATGCCAAGGCCAAGGATGAAAAAGCACAGACTCGCAGTCACTCTGAAGCAAAGCTGAGACTGAACACTTGCAACGCAGTTCAACTGGTCTTTCCAATCCAGTTTAAAGCTGCGTGATGCTCTCGTGCGCGATCACTTGTCTCATTTGCTCAGCAACTCCCACCATGCACAAGTTCTGCTGCAAGAGGTGTGGATTGAAACCAAGTAAAACAGTACAGAATATGGGTTTGTATTAAAATATAGGGAGACACTTAGGGAGACCTCCCAAGGACCACCTGGAAAAAAGAAGCTGACATTGACCAAAACCCCATTGGTTGGAGGTCTCCCTATATATACACACACGTTTGCACCGAAATCAAACCAACCACAGCCCCACAGCTCGCTCACTTCAAGCCGTCGTTTCTAAGCTCTCTTGGCCTCCAGGAAGTTCCAAACGGGATGGTTGCCGAGGAGGTGTCTGTAGACTGGTCACACCCGCCAGTAGTTTCACTAGCAGTCTGGCGAAACCACGAAGAGCGACCGTTTAATGAAGAAGCGAGATCGCGATCGCTGCAGGAGCAGCGTTTTCCATGCGAATGCCCTGCAAACTTTCACAGGTTCAAAATGGTTCAAAGATGTTCAAAGTATCCCAAACGGGCAAATCTGCATAGCCGAATGGCTTGGCCGAGAACAATTGCAGGCTTTCAACCTGCCTGCCGTCCAAAAACGTCTGGCCCCTCACAGGAGTCACGGGTCAACACGCACGGCGGCACGAAGAAACACAAAAGTCATGCTGCAGCATGCTGCGGCCGAGCCGTGTTGGGATGGTTGCACCAGTTCTGATCTTCACAGGCGCACACACAGCTGGAGCATTCTTCACCAGCTGACGCAAGGGCTGCAGCCGGAGAAAATTGAAACTGGTGAAGCAACAGCATGGGCCTCGCAGGTGCTTTGCAGATGTTGACCACACCTTTGATGCGCAGAACGTCCTTGAGGTCAGAACATTTGCGTGGCACAACAGGACACGATGCAGGAATAAGATCCAAGAGAGGTTGAACAGCCCTGTTTTAGCCCATCCCGTACCTATCACAGACCAGGGCTATAAGGTCTCTCAACCTCTCCTTGGATTTGCACAGGTGTGCAGTTTACTTATTGTTTCTTGAATCATTTGCTTTCACAGAATGAGGACAAAATGTGTAATGAGAACAAAAATGGTACAAGCAGGACAAGCTACTATGGCAGGGCAAGTGCGCTGCCAACAAAAAGGCCCTGTAATGCGTCTCTTGGATGTCAAAACGAGGCCCCCGTCGAGTTCTGTACAAAGAACAATCAGGCTTGGCTTGACTGAAGAAAGGCACGCGCTCCAAGTGTTTGTGGAGTCAGTGGATTGAAAAGTTCATTACAATTGACTTTCTACAGTGCTCCCCGGGCGGATTTTTGAACGGTCTAACCTGACCCCCCCTCCCCCCTCCCCCCATGTAAGTATTAGTGTTTGCGCTGTCTCTTGTTTGTACTTTTTGGTTTCCATATCATATGTTGCTTTGTCTTCCTTTTGTGAGGACATGCCTTTCTGAGAGCCTAGGGCTTCGCGGCTTCACTGTGAGAAAATGGCTTCCATCAAGGAGCCAATTGTGGAAGTGAGCACTTGAAAGAATGGAAGATTGAAAGAAGCCCCCTAGCTTTGCCGTGCTGTGTAAATAAGTAGTAAGTTGGAAGTTGGAAGTAGAAAGTAGGGAGCAGGGAGTAGTGAGTAGTAAGTAGCATGCCATGTGTACAGCACAGAGCAGACCTTTTACCTACTGCTGTGTCAGCCTTGTACCCTTATCTGCATAAATGTCACTGCTTCTCCGGATTGGCTGCATGTGACCACATCCAGTTTGACTTCTACTCTTGCAGTCACCCCTTCTCGGCCAACGTCCCACCGCTGCACCGCACTCACAACCACTAAGTTGGCTTTTTCGCTGCGGCCAAAAGGGCCGGCGGAACAATCCGCAGGTGTATATAATTATATATATAATAACATGATGTGTATAGTTATATATATTTATATATTATAGACCTGGACCCTACAAACTACCTTAGAACATGGCACATGATCCGAACCAAAATAATAGGTAATTACTGAACAACATATTACTGAACATATCCGAGGTATATGAAGCTCAAGTGCAAAAACGAACGGAGCCTGATATACCTGATCTATCGGCTGCTCCTGATCGATGGAAACCCTCCACCCTCTTCACCCGCCGCGCACCTCCGCCGGCGCTGGTGAGCGCTCGCGCTCCGGCCCGCGCAGCTGTGCCCCGCCGGTGAGATGAAGAGTTTCATGCGGCGGAGAGAAGGCATCAAAGGTGCAGGCTGTGACCGAGTGAAGATCGAAAAAGTGGAGAAGAACCCAGTGCTTTGGGATGTTGTGGGGTTCCTTGTGATCCTCTGGGGGAGTAATCATCTCTAAGCCAGAATAACTCCATAACTGGAAGGCTTCAGCCACCCCATCTGCCGACTCCTGCCGTTCCACTACCCCTGGCCGTTTCTCGGCAGTCCGCCAAGGTCCCATGGAGTGGGTTTCTGGGCACGGAAAGGGCAATCGGTTTGAGGAGCTCGATGGTTGAAAGCTCCACCCCATACTGACAATGACTGACGGAAGATTCAGGAACCATCCCCTGGCCGGATGATCCCTTGACCAACACGATCCAACATGCACGATGACGTGCGCTGGAAGCAGGATCACTCAGCTAAATATCGCACAAATGAAGGCAAAACCTGACGATGGACCCTTAATGTAAACAAATTATTATGCATATAGTCAATAAAACGTTCCATCTATCACGTCTCCGTAATGTATTTCTGGAGAGGTCTATTTTCGTTGGGTTCATCTGCAAAGGTGTAAGTCTTATCCTCGTCCAATCAAGGCTGCGATCTGTCCTGACCTTGCCATCCTTTCCCTCTTCTTCGTCTACACAACCAGGCAAAAACAAACAATCCCTAAATCCAAATGAGACAAAACAATCTGCACCAACCTATATATTGAGAACGTTTTATCATGTATTATCTCGATTCTATTCGATTCTTCATTTCTTTGGAACCCCCGTCCCCAATCCAGTGCATGGCCAGGAGCTCTACTCTCCCAGCAGTCGAAACGCTCGGAACGGTGACGTTCGAAGGATCGAAACGAGCCGCGGCTCCCGCGGCACATGGGTTTTTCTTCATTGTGATACATGGCTCGACCTCTCCAGCGGATGTCGAGTGACCCAGAACCAGACCGGAACGGTCTGGAGTGTCTTTTGGAACGGTCTGGAGTGTCTTTTGGAACGGTCTGGATGGAGAAAGGTGCCTTAGAAGAACAACATCCACTCACATGGGCCGA